AATTAACCACTTGAAGTTCCAGCTAATTCTCTGCAAAACCTACAGGTACAAGGCTGAAATGACGACACGATCTTGCCAGCTAGGTAAGGACCCACGTTTCACTTGAGCACTGTTCCGTAGGCCATTCACTTGACAGAAACAACACAGTTTATCCAACTATTTAACGCATACAAGTTGCCATCTCACCTCACTGCAAATTTGCTACTTACAGAACTTCCTTGATTCCTACATGCATGCTCGCTAGCTAGGTATCTTCCATGGCCACCCAATTTGATTCCCTTGCCTCGCTCCAACTCCGCAAGGACAAGAAGCAGTTTACTCGAAGCGCATCTCATGGAGAAAGGGTAGCAAAATCGCTTCCAGCTGATCGCCGGAGTTCAAGTTATTGTAGACAGTACAAAGCTAACGATGTCAGGTTGGAAAACGGCTCGAGGGCTGGAGATGGCAAGGAAATGATTAAGCGCAATAAGCTCCAAAAGAGAAATCGTGGCTGGGCACGAGAGCTTCCTCGGTATTTAGATTTGTGGTACATGTCATCCTCCATAAGCTACATCCTCAGGAAGGCAAGAGCATTTTACAACGAATTCTGTTGTGATAATTACTTTGACGATTCATCAATCAAGGGACATGAACTAGTGTTGGCCGATCCTTATTTCTCATTTCCAGTTATTCCACCGCCGACGATTGCACCCATTGTGTGATTGCAGTGGTCAAGGCTGGACTTGGGGGTGGAGAGAGCCAGCCTAATTAATTAATGCTATGCTAATTATAAGCATAAATTTTACTGTTTAAGCTTGTTGCTACTGTCTTCATCTTTGTTTTTTATTTCTGGCATCTGCCATGTCATAAATATGCGAAGAGATATTGTTATGTTTGTTGTCTAGAAATATTAGACCATTAATTACTGAACATATTTTGTTTACTTTATTATAGCAAGTTTATACTAATCAAATTTGTTCAAGTATAGATTAATGCCTATAAGCATCCAAAATCACATCTCAAGTATATGCTGGGCGCGTGTGTGCCTGTATACACACAAGAGATTTAAGAAAAACCTAGTATAGACACTAATCATATAATATGTTAAACTTAGAATAAAACTATATAAAGTTATACTGAATTTAAATTAAATTATTATCAAGAATTAATTATTTATCATTAAACAAAATAATTAACTTTAATGAGCTTATAAAAAAATTCAACAAGATCCCCTTGTTTAAGCCTATAACCTAAGAACTTCTTTGCATGACTTAAAACTATTTGTTTATCATTAAGGTTTTTTTCAAAAATTTAATTTTTTTATATATTATTTTAATGTACTAATATTAATAATAAAATTTAAAAAATAAAAAAATATATATTTTTATATATTTCTAAATAAAAAATATTTTAAAATACAATTTTTAACTCACTCTCAATCATCAACTAAAACGCCAGACTCGCGTCTTGCCGCACGAGGGATGCGTGCAAACTCACTGCAATCGTTAGGAGTCCGTACAAAGCCATTTATTATGACGTCCCTTGATTTTGGCAAACGTTTCAATTGCTGTGCGCCATTGATTCAAGCTTGTAGAAAGTAAAATGTTCGGCATGCTGAGGATTGAACATTTCAACAAGTTCTCTTCAGAGCTAAATCCAGTTGAAGGGTTAATATTTGGAGCCCCACCCGATAACTTGATATTTTGGATTAACACGGTTCTTCAGGAATTCCCGTCCAATTTCCAAACAAATCTAGGCTTTCTTAGCAAAGCGTGGTATTATCAAGCTCGTTAAAAATTCAGACCGTAGTTAATAACCTTTTCCGCTCTGTCTAAATGCTTGGTCCCCAACAATTCCAAGCTCATTACACAAAAGAACCACAAAATTGTTTGTTTTGAGCCTTGTTGCCTCTAAACAAATAAAATGTTAATGCAAATGCAAATGCAAATGTAAATCTATAACATTCTCAAAGAAAGAGAAGAAGATCTCAAAGGAGTTTCGTGTTTTTGGGGTGGGGAGCAGAGATGAGAAGGGTGGGATGACAAAATGCAATATCTGACTTGCTTTATTCCCTCGTTATTTCAAACTCAGCACCAATCGGTAGATGATCACTTGGGTGGTAATAGTTTGGTAAGCCACCAAGAACATTAGGCGAGTTTGCTTCAGGAAGTTCAAGGAAACTGAGTGGTTTTATTTGGCCGTCAGGGACAAAGAATATATAATCGAGCGTATTGGTGAAGTCAGGCGTGCAGTTTGTGAACGGTGGTTCTCCCCTTGTACTACCATAGACACTGCACAGCGGAATAGGAAGCTCATCCAAACATTCCGCTAGTGAAGCTGATGAAGATTTGCCAGATACAAGGTACTCGTAAACCTAAAATAAGAACGCAAGTATGGTAAGTAATTAAGATTGTGTAGAGATACCAAATTTTTTACTTGTTTGACGTATCCCATAGATTTTAAATGAAAAATGTCACTTCATGGATCGTGACAAGCACTACGACTATTTCACAGAAGGACAGTAAAGCACAAACCTTATCCCCTGGGATTGAATTGAAGTCGCCAGCAAGAATTACTGAAGGCATGCATTCATATTTTTCAGAAACTAGTTCCTTGAATTGAGCTACGCGTGATAGAAGATATTTAGCTTGAGCAAGCTTGACATCAGCCCATTCTGGGTCCCTGAAAGAAAATCGCTGGTATGTACCATAAATAAAATACATACTCCAGGAAACCAAGATATAAACACATGACACTCCTGCAGGAAATCGCCATACAAAAGATTAAAACAGACCTATTTACCAGTAAATGTGAGTGTTTGCCACGATAACATGATGGAGAGTATCCTTGAGTCTAAAAGCAGCCATAATTCCCAC